AATCAAAGAAAAAACGAAAAAACATCAGTTCCAAGCTTTCCGTTTTTAAAATCTATATTTTTTATACATCGCTACACATTACCTTGCACATTACCTTTCTTATTCTTTATCTACCCATTATCTCTAGGTCTTCTAGCCGTGTAATTTATTTTCTTTTTTTTTTTTACTTTCTATATCTCCTTCTTTTCTGGTCCTTTCTCTTTTTCTTTTTCTCCCCCATTTCTGACTCTGATTTTTATCCCCTTCTCTCTTTTGGGCTTTCTTCTGCAATTCCCTTTTCTGCTGTTTCCTTTTTCTTCATTTGACTTTCCAAACAGTTACCTCCTTAATTATCTCATCAAACCTCCAAGTTTTAATTTCCATGGTTTTTCTCTCTTGTTTTGATGTTTGTTGTTCCGTTTGTTCATTAGGGTGGCCTCTTCTTCAATCAGCTGCTCCCCTTCTGGCTCTCCTTGTTCTTTGTTCTCCAATGTCACCATGTCTAATATTTGTAAGGCAATACTGCACAGTTCAACTCTTTCATGTATCATTTCCCTTATGCTTCTTAAATCTGATTTTATTTCCAAACAAAGTTTTGCCATTTTTGTGCATTTATTTGTCTCTTTCTTCAATATTTAAGTCCAGTCCAGTTATCCAGTAGTTTATTTAAACCAGCTTCTAGCAATCAACTTCTGTTAAATCCTGTTTAAATTTTTTAGGGCCAAAATAGTCCAAGGTTCATAAGTTTTTATTATTAAATTCCTTCTGTTGGGTTTTGAATTTTTCTCAAAGTCACCTAGCATTCCTAGGTTTCAAGTTTCTTTCTTCTTCCTTTATAATATTCTAATTTCATTTTTCAGGGTTTCTATATTATTGTATCAAAGTTCCTCTTATTTTGTATGAAGTTCCAATTTCAAGAGAACCAAGCACTTTTTAAAGAGTTACTGAAATTTTTCCTTTGCCATTAGATGGCACTCTGTCATGTCCAAGTTCCACCTTTTCTTTTCACTTTCTTTTCCCTATTTAGGGCTTTTAAGTTTCAATAATCCAGTAAGTCCAATTATTATTGTTTATTTTTGGCATTTTCAAGTTCAACTTTTAGTATGCCTCTTTAGTGCCAAAATCATATAATTGTTCAATTTAAACAAATATTTTCTTCTGATTTCTTCTTTCAATTTAACTCTTTTTGAAGTTCAAAGCCACTTTCATTTATGTCCAATTCCCCCCTCCCTGCTCTCTTTGGTCACCGCTTTTACTATCTTTCTTAAAAGTCTCTTAAAACTTTAAATCCAGAGTACCTTTATATTCAAATATTATGCCTGGTTCGCTTGGTTGCCACACTGTCTGCTTGTTCACCACTCCTGCATGATCTTTGTCCTGGATAGCCCTCTGTCTTCTGGGTGGTCTTATTTAGCCACCGCTGCAGCCCGTCTTCAGAGGGAGTTTACCTAGCCAGAGAGGGGAGATGCGGTTCCCCTCAACCCAACAAGCAGTCTTCCCCTTCTTCCCCACACCTACAGGATGGTTCTGGCCCTGCTTGGAGCCCTCTAACAGGGAGAGTATGGATCAAAGCCTCTCACGATCATGGTCTTCGTTCTGTCCACGATGGAAATGCCACTGGAAGTCACCCCTGGCCCCACAAGTCTATCATACTATGTTGACATGAAGTCTGTTCAGAAGTCTGACAGTTGTTCAGAAGACTGACAGCCCAAGGGTAGAAACTGTTCTTTAGCCTGTTGGTATGTTTGGCTATGCTGACATAGGTCTTCTACCCAATAGTAGGAGAGTGAAGAAGTGCTGACTGGGATGTGAGTCATCCCTGAGAATTTTCTTCACTCTTCTAGCTATCATATCATCTAGTGGTATCAGGGAACAGCCCACGATGTTTTGTGCTGTGCTCACCACCCTCTGTAAAGTCTTTCTATCTGCAGCTGTCAAGCCAGCATACCACACTGTAATGCAATATGTGAGGATGCTTTCTATTGTGGCCCAGTAAAAGGAGGTCATCAGTCGTTGTTCCACTTTATTTTTTCGCAAGACCCTAAGGAAATGGAGTCTCTGTTGGGCCTTTCTGGCCACCTGAGTTGTGTTGGTTTTCCAGGTAAGATCTCAGGGATGACTCACATCCCGGTCAGCACTTCTTCACTCTCCTACCATTGGGTAGGAGACATAGAAGCATAGCCAGGAATTTAAAGGAGGAAATGTCCACACAGCCCCCCTTGAGGTAGTCGGGTGGGTTCCTCTCTCCCCTTCTGGAATTCTAACACCATCTCCTTTGTCTTGCTGATGTTTAGGTTCAGGCAGGTTGTTTCCTAGGCACCGAGATGATAATTTTTGAACCTCCCCCCGTATGCTGTTTCGTCTCCACCTGTAATGAGACCCAATATGAACTTAATGATCACAATGGATGGTTCAGATGATACACAATCATGTTTGTACAGTGAATAAGGGACTGAGCACACAGCCCTTTGGAGAGCCAGTGCTAAGCTTCAGGGAGGTGGATGTGACAGACCCAGCCCTCACTGTTTGTGGTCGGTCCCTCAGAAAATCTTTGATCCAGTCACAGATGGAAGAGGGAAAATCCAAGTCTGTCAGCTTTTCGATAAGGATGCTCAGCAGGATAGTATTGAAGGCCGAGCTATAGTCAATGAAAAGCATCCTGACATAGTTTCCAGTTTTCTCCAGATGGCTCGCTACAGAATGTAAGGCAGTAGCTATGGCGTCATCTGTTGACCTGTTCCCCCTGTAGGCAAACTGATGTTTGTCAAAGTCTGGTGGGAGGCATGTTCTAAGGTGTTGGAGAACTAGTCTTTCGAAGCATTTCATCACTACTGACGTTAATACAATAGGTCTGTAGTCATTTAGGCAGTTAATTGCTGTTTTCTTGGGGACTGAGACAATAGTCTGTTTTCAAACATGATGGATCGCAGCTGTTTGCAGGAAGATGTTAAAGATCTTTGTCAGGACCCCTGTTAATTGATGGGCACAAGTCTTTACCACTATCCCCAGCACCCATCTGGACCTGCAGCTTTACTGGGATTCATAGCTTTCAGTGCAGCTCTCACTTGATGTTCATGTAAGGTAGTGGTGGCTAACCCCTTTGGGCATCTGTGCCAAAAATTGTGCTTGCACGCTTGCACTCTCATGCCAGCACCCAGAGTCAATGCATGCCATAGGTTCACTATCACGGGTATAGGGTGAGTGGCTGGGAAAGCTGGCAGGCAGAGGCTATGGTGTCTGGTTAATGTCTTGTCTATTTCAAACCAAATAGATTTTTAATTTTGAGTTTAAAACTTGATAAGAAAAATACTGATGAAACAGAACCTTTTAAAGATAATTTACACATTTGGTTGTGTAGCATAAATTATCCTCATCCAACCAGTCCAAGAAATTAACTAGTGGGTGCATTAATAAAGCATAGCTTCTAATTAATACATTGAAAAATGCAACAGAACATAAGAAATAAATTTACTGAATTCTTTGAACTGGGCATAGGCGATCCAGTATCGGGGTGTTGCTATAGTTCCCCTCCATAGATTAATGTTAATTAAGAGGGGTAAATAAGAATTCTTTTCTGTACAAAGCACATAAAAGTGTTAGAAGAATACTTGAGTTGTATTGTCTTCTATGTGTATAACTTTTACAGTAATCGGAGGTTAACCTAAAATTGTTGTGAGTTGCAATGGGAGATAAGAAGAAACGTTTTAACTCCAGTGAACTTTTTTGAAACTTTTACATTAGCAAGAATTCAGCCAGGAGGCTGCAATAATTTAAATTAATTTTCTATGTTTTTCTTCCTGGAAAAAAAATGTCAGTAAGGGGTGGGTGGATGAGTCAGAAATAAACGTTCATGCAGCTGTTTCAACAATCCTAATTCTGTATTTTTTCAAAATAAAGTTTTATAATATAGTTTCAATTTTTTTAAAAATGCTTCAATTCTTTTATTGCAGTGCAGCTTTTCTGTTTGAAAGTTCTAATATTATTCATGTATTTTATTAGTAAATATAATCCTCAACAAAGGATTTGCTTTTCAGAGGACTGCTTTTTAAAGTAGTGTATATGTATATAAGAAAAGAAATGAAATATTTCTGTACTTCCATATTTTACATTAACTTCTTTCATAATCATAGTTTCAAGTTCATATAGCACTGAGCTGGATAAGTAATTAGGAACTATTTCATTCAGCATACTGAATCTAAAAACTTATAATAACATAAATTTTATAAATCTTCTAAAATACACTGCACTACAAAATCAAATGTGTATTGTTTGTCTCTATTATCAAATTACCTTTTTATCAATATTAATGTTAAAACAATTATTTTTCAAAGGATTTACTTTTGCCTTAAACCTCTGTGAAGTTCGCATGGAATAATAATATTTTGTCAGCATCCAAGACAGTTTTTGATGTAATATTTTGACAAATATTGTTCATACAAGTCTGAATTTTTAATAATATATAAAATGCACAGCGGTTGACATACCGAGAAAATGGCTAATCTCATTGTCAGTTCTGAAAGCTACTGTAGATGAATGAAAAATAATAAAATAGCTTTGTTCGTAGTTTGAGCTTTCAAAATAAAGATTTGAATGACTTGCTGCAGCTAAAATATCTTTGAGTATAATCCCTTTTCATTCCTATTTTTTTTTCTTGTAAGGAATGTGTTCTTGTGTATCACTACTTTCCATGTTCTGTTATTCTCTATAATTAGCAAGTGTACACACCTGTCTTTAGGCTGTCATCTAATCTATAAACTATGCAAATAAATAGAATATAACTGTTATTTGATACAATTTATTTTTTGATGGAATTACTATTGAGAATTGTGAAAGGAGGGTTATGCACTTGGATATAGTGAAATGTGTGTGTGTGTTAATTCCTGTAGGTTCAGTTAAAAATCCTGGTTTGAAATAATATCTATATTAATAACGTTTCACATTATTGCATTCTTATCTTTATGTAGGAAGGCAATGCACTACATACAAATATTAATGAACATGTTTTCCCCCCTCTTTTTCAGTTATTTTTATTTCAATTGCTGCGAGGACTTTCGTACATCCACCACCGTTACATTTTGCACAGGGATCTGAAACCCCAAAATCTTCTGATCAGTGACACTGGGGAGTTGAAACTGGCAGATTTTGGTAGGCAAGCCATTAATTACAAGATTATTTGATAATGATGTAAGCAATGTTGAGAGATGGCTTGAGCCGTTCTCTTCTTAGTTACAGTACAAGTTGACTTTGGCCACCAGTAGAGAAAATGAAACAGGTAATGCAGCAAGTTCATATGTCTTTGATTTAGTTTGCCTTTATTTATTCAACTCAAGGTAGCATACAGTACTTCTACTTCCTGTTCCCACAAAAGACCAAAAGAATGAAATATCTTTCATCTTTCATATTTGATTGTGTGCCATCTAGTTGGTATTGTTAGTGGTCCCATAGACTTCCTTCAGGTTGTTCTGTCTCCAACTTCGCCCTTTGGGTCTTGTAATAGTGTGTCCTTTGCCACTGATAATTGAGTCCATTTATCTTGTTGCTGATCATCCCTTTCTTCCATTTGAGTATTAAAGAGATCATTTGAAAACATAGAATGCATAGCTGCAAGATTTTAGTTATCACGGGCTTTTAAATGAAATTTTAAAAGAGAGAAACATTAATATTTGTCAAATAGGGAAAAAGGGATATAAATACAGTTTTCAAACCATAACTATTCCGCTACATAGAAGACTCACTCATAACAATATCAGTAATATCATACACAAAAGAAATGCAAATATATATATATATCCGGTGTGTGAGCGCGCGCATATATTTATATTGAATTTTATTGATTTTGCTACTTAAGTATGGGAGAGACTACAAAGAGAGAGAGAAAGAGACTGCAAAGATCATTTGTTGCTGCCATTTTATTCAGATAAAATTTTCTCATATAGTATTTTGTGCCTGACCCATATTTCCCATTTCCCTCCCCCTTTGTGGGGCAGATTGGTTGAACAAGCTATGTCTTCTTTAGCTGTTTTTCTCTTCAGACAGCTAAAAAAATATTACTTTAAAATGCACTAACAAAAGGTTAACAAACTCAACCATGTGACCTTAATAAATTGATAAGAACCCTCTATCTTACTTTCATTTGCTGCCTAAAACTGGCCACTCCTTAGTCATTTTCACACGGAAGGTGTTTGTTGCCCTAAATGCCACATTGGTTAGAAAATGGACTTTAATGTCTGTTTAATTACAGTCATATTTGCAAACAATATTTCTTTGGGCAGTTGCTAAATGAGGATAACTGTGTAGTGTTTTCTTTACAAATTATTTTTTCCAAGTCAGATTTGTTCTGTTTCAGAAGATTTCTAAGTAGTACATATATGCATAATATCTTATTCCAGAGTTTCATAGTAATTTAATAGGATGCTATTTACTGCACAACTGGACAAATTTGGTCCTGTATAGGTTATTTCAGGACATTCTCATTTATTTGTGGCATATTATGGTCTCATTAATACTAGAATTTTAGGTCAGTTTTCCTTATTTCTAGCCAATTAAATTACATCCTTGTAATTTAAATCAATTGTTTCTTGTTATATCTTCTGAACAATTCTGCATCTTCTATATTAGAGCCTTTCAGATACTAGAAGAGAACTATCATGTTTCCCTGCAGTGTTCTCTTCTCCAAGCTAAACTTCCCAATACTGCTAGCTGCTGCTCTCTGATACTCCTCATTTTGTCAATGTCTTTCTCATCAGTATCAAACAGACCAAACCTTCTTTTCCCAATCTTTTTGAAGATATTTTCTGTTCTTTTCTGCCAGTAACTGACTCTGTGATTTCTTAAAGATCATAGAACAATTATTGGGAACCAGAATGTTTTCCCTCCCTGTTATTGTGAAAAATAACCTTACAAAGGTGGATAGTGTTAATTTAAAATTCATTTTGTTTAGTGAACTACCCTCGGGTGGGATGCTACCGGTTCTGCCCGGTTCTATAGAACCGGTAGCTCTGAAGAGCAGCAGACACTGAACCTGTTGGCTCACCCACCCACCCGGGCTCTTACCTATCCTTTATTTCCTACTTTTTCAACCTCAGCTGCTTTGCGCAGCACAGCTGAAGTTGAAAAAGCAGGAAAAAAGTGGTTTTTCAAATGCTGCACACCTGCATGCAGTACTTTTCAGCTGTCCAGGCTGCACAGCTGAAGGTTTTTTATATGCACATGCAAAACGTAGTCTCCGAGCCAGTAGTAACACCCATTGAATCCCACCCCTGACTACCCTTTGTATGGTGAATTTATCTTTATTTTATTTATTCATTTGTATCCCTCCTATATTATGTTTACAAAATAACTCAAGATGGTAAGCATATTGAACACATCTTCCCCCTATTTTTTTCCACAATAATAAACTTGTGAGATGGATTGGGCTGAGAGAGAATGGCTAACCCTAAGTTATCCAGCTGATTTTCACTGATAAGGTGGGACTCACAGTCTCTAGCCTGGTGCCATAACTGCTAGATCAAATATTAATACTATTTACTGGTATCGATAATGTAGAAACATTGTTTAACTGCATTTGTAATGTTGTTAATAAACAGTCATTTAGTTGGCATTAGATGTCTTTGAATATGTGGAATAAGTAGTGACACTGATATAAAGTAAATAACGCATGTCCTTCACCTATTCTTTTCTTGAGATTTTTTTTATTGGACATAGGATAATTTGACAATTAGATGATATGCTAACTATTACTCATCTTGTTGCTGTGAAGAATTCAGGTATAGCAGCAGGATGTTTCCATACTGACCTTTTTATTAATTTTATCAAAGAGAAAGGTCTGAAAGGCCCTTCACAGAATTGTCATGAAGTCACTTAAAGTCAGGCCAAAATTGTCAAATGTTGTCTGTTCATTATTTTGCTTTTGCTTTCACTCTCACTTGAAAATTTAAAAAGTTCCCATATCTACCAATATCAGGAACCCTGATTATAAAAAGAGAGTGCATGGCTTCCTATAGTGTAACCATGGAAATAGACAAGACATCCTTAAACAAAGTGATTGCACATGCTGTGCTAATTAATCCTGTTCTACAGTTTTCCCTCAGCTGGAAGAAGCAGTTAGATAAATTTTGGATGAGGATTCATGTATGGATTCACAAATAATATGAAATATGTTGCCATTATTGGAGAAGCCAATAATGATATAATGAACATTTATTTGTAAGCTGAAGGTCTTAAAGTAAATGTAGTCTTTTAGGTGTTTGGTAATGCTATAATATAATGACAATAATACAACTATTTCTAAGATGCTGAACTATTGTTTGATAGCTCAGATTGCTGATCATGAAAAAGTGTAATTACTTAAATAATTTGGACCTGTTAAATCATAGTTGTGTGTTTCTTGAATATTTCATCACTTTGTTCTTCCTTCTGATCACCTATAATTTACTTTTGTTTTTAAATACAATGTTAAATATAGCAAATATTTAAATATTGCATTTAAAGCAAAAGGACAAAATATTGCAGTGTGCCTTAAAATTTGTACCTGGTACCTAGTTATAGGTTTTTACTAAGACGTTTTGTTTTGTTTTTTGTCTTTAAGCCAGTGTTGACTCCTTGCAACTACCTAGACAAGTTTTTGACGATTTCTTTGAAATCTTAGATTGGTTGCTTCCTAGGCCTGAGAGAAGAGTAACTGGCCCAAAGGCACCCAGCTGGCTTTATGCCTAGAACTAAAAACTTTATGCCTAGAACTAAAAACACACAGTCTCCTGGTTTCTAGCAAACTGGCTTCTTTACTAAGACTAGTTGGAAAAACCCACATTGCTTTAGATCTAATTTCATATTAGATATAACTTTAAGGCCTATATTATTTTAATATTGAAATTATTTAAGTGCAGTGATTATAATTGCTACTATGAAATTGTCCTATCTTTTTCTAAATATGCTCATTAAAAGATGTGAAAATATTGAATAATTTTTAAATAGTGGAATTGCTGAGCTCACAAGTAGATTGCAGATTAAAGACCAGTCTCAACTTAATCTTTTGCTTTGGAGTATAATCATAGTAGACCCTACCAGCAGCAGAAACCATATAAGGGCACATATTCTAGTTTCCTTTCCCAATATTTGGATGGCAACTTATGCCAAGTTTCAAATACAGGGAAGAAAAAAGTAATAATTTCAATACTGCATCCAAGTAGAACAGGTGCCAGCAGTTAGATAATACAATGCCTGAGCCTGTCATTAGAAGTTAGACTAATCTCATGAGAAATAAATAGAACTAACTGCATTTAAAATATTTATTTTAAATTTAAGATAATAAAATATAAGCAAATTGATGAAAACAAATTATAGAAGTATTCAAACAACAATGCTATTGTTTACAACTGAAAAGGAAGATTTGAAAAGAAGATTCAGTGACTTAAATGCTGCTTTCTTCTACAAATGACATTGTCTCCCTGCTAGATAGGGAAATATTACAATTTATTATTTAATAATTACATGAAGTTTAATGATATTTGCCATCTCCCAATCCTACTGGGCCGTGATGGCGAACCTATGGCACATGTGCCACAGGTGGCATGCAGAGCCATTTGTGCGGGCACGCAAGCTCCAGCCAAACTTAACTGCACTGCATATGTTTGCGACTCCCAGCTGATTTTCAGCCCATTTGAAGCAGTTTTCAGCCTCCCAGAGGCTTGAGGGAAGCCTCTGCAGCCTTGGGAGGCTGAAAAACTGGTCTTCCAGAAGTGCTGAAACGGGTCGGTTTTCAGCTTCTCGAGGTTGCAGAGGCTTCCTTCGAGCACCCGGGAGGTAAAAACAGCCTCAAATAGGCCAAAAATCAGCTGGGAGGCATGCGCAGTGCAGGTAAGGGAGTGGGGGGGTTGCATGCGCATGCACGGGGGGATGTTGCATTGTGGGTGCCAGCGCATGAATATGGGCGCTATCGCACACAAGCACGCTTTCAGCACACAACAACAAAAAGGTTCACCATCACTGCTACTGGGCTATCTCTTCATGGTGTTGGGGAATTCCTAGAAAAAAATGAATGAAGAACTTTGGAATTGCTTGCCAAGAGAATACTGTATATCCCCAACAGAGTCACCAAGCCCTTGAGGGTCTTCCCAGCTGCCCAGCAGGTGACTTGTATCTATTCATATGGAGGAATGAGGGAGAACGCAGTGATAAATCATTTTTATACTTACATTGAGAAAAAAATACATAGAAAGAAAACATGAGATGATTTACAATATAATACCAGATGATGAACCTCTCAGATCAGATGGCACTCCACATGCCACTGAGGAAAAGATGATGATTTTTCAGTGTACTAATGATATGGCTAGGTTAAAACTTTTTGAACTTTTAATTGGTGGTATTGCCATATAGGAAAAGAAAATCTGAAGCTGAAAACACATGCAACATGGAACATAAGAAGCATGAACATGGGGAAGCTGAACACAGTGAAAGAATGAATGAAATGAAATTTAGAAATTGACATCTTACGCATCAGAAAATTGGGAATGAGCATGGGTTTGGACATTTCAGATGTAAAAAAAAATCACACTATTTATACTTAGGACATGAAAAACTAAGAAATAATGGTGTTCCTTATATTGCCAAGCAGGGAATAGCAAGAACAATTTTTAAAGATGCTTTTTATTTTTATAACTCAACGTGGTGAACATGCCTAACAATCTTTACTCCTATTTTTTCTACAACCAAAAAACCCTGTGAGCTCAGCATGAGTGTATGATTAGCCCAAATTCCAAATTTTTATGTCTAAAGAAGCACAAGAATTCACTTTCCTGGGTCTATAGCTGATGCCTTAACCAGTAAAATGCAATCATTGACTGTCAAACAAAAGAAAATTAGATGACAGAACAAACTGTGGAAATTGTCAAAGAAATTAAAGAAGTCAAAACCAAGGACACAAATATCAGAAAGGAACTTAAAAAGGAATTTCAGAGAGAGATGTTTGAAGAGACAAGGAGTATTACAATAGCATATGTCAAGACATAGATGATAGAAAAATAAGCCTGGGGAAAAAAATCTTTCAAAAAAATTTCTGAACTGAAAATGGGATTCCAAGCTTCAACTTATATGTTATATGTTAGCACCAATAAACAGGTTTTATTTCAAAGAAATCAAACAAAAATTAAATGAGATATTGAAATATGATACAGTTTACAGCCTCTTACAAGATACTCCCTGTTTATAAGAATCTCTGGTATTAAAGTTAGAATAGCATTCAATCGGTCAGAAGGCTGCAGGGACTAATGTAATACTCATAGAAACATGGCAAGCAACAGAAAAATAATATTTCTATCCAGTCCAATCAGTACACCAAATCTGGAGAATAACAGAATGGCCAACAAATTTGAAGAGATCAACATTCTAATAAAAAAAAACTTAACAGTGTGTGCAAGCTATCACACTATATCCTTAATTTTACATACCAGCAAAATAAAGTTTAGGATTGTCCAATGAAGATTGAAGCTCTTTATAAAATATATATAAATGCTAGATATTCATAGTGGCAATTACCTAGATTATTCTTCAATTCTTTGGACTATTCCACTTCTTGATAATTTAGTGGCTGTACAAGCAGTATTAATTTCCTTTGCTTCTTCTAAAACAAATCCAACATATTTTCTTCACCTTCAATGGAGAGGAAGGGAAGACTCTGATGATTTTGATTCTGAACTTTCAGAATATGACAGAGTATATCTTGTGTCTGAGGCAGTAGCTTTCGCAGGCTACAGCCTCAATAAAAATATTGACATTTGTGCATTTGTTCAATTGATCTTCTGAAAATAGCAGTAACTTCAAGGGTATACTGGTTTTGTGAGCAATTTTTGAAAGAAATATATTCTTTCTCAAATTGCTAATGCTAGCAAAAGTATTCAAACATAGTTAGTAGCTTTATTTATTTTGGGTTTTTTTTTTGCCTAATTACCAAGACATATTACCATTTAATTACAGTGATCTTTTTTTTAAAAAAAAAAGGCTATTCAAGCACACTTTAATAATATATTGACATTCAGTCTGGTTATTTAGAAAACAAAATTTTAAAAAGGACACTACAGTTACCATATGGCAGTATATTTTTCTATATAACAGAGCATAATGCCGGCTTAATTTGTTGAATGGCATAAATCAATAAAGACAATTCTACTACTTACCACAATTTTTCCCATAACACTCACCTCTCCACAGTTTTTAAAATCATTTATTCATGTTCCCATTTGCATCAACCTGCAATGAGATTTAAGAAAAATAAATTTCCTTTGGTGATAATTTTTTTAAAATTTTTGATGTTCCACATATCTTTATCAGTTATAATAGTTCTAGATACCCACTGTATGAACTTCAAAGAATAATATATGGATTAAATGCTAAAATAGTAGGGAAAATTACTATTTTTTCATTCTTTAGCATGCTCCAGTATAGCATATGCCTAAAGCTTGAAATAATTCTAGTATAAAATAGGTAAAGATGTAATATTTTTCTTGTTATTTTGGTTATATTCTTTATTTTAGCTGCTGATGCTTAAGGATATGTCTGCATGTTAATATTTAGTAGTTATCTTTAGTAGTTTTTAAATTATATCAATTATATTTTCTTCTGTTTAATTATAGACACCAGAGCTTTTAAAAAGATGGTAATGAGGATAAATCTTATTGTTGCAATCTTTGTTATGATGATGAGTTTTCATTTTGTTTTACAATGGTTGAGTGATGGAAATTAATATTAGTTTTCTTTGATTAAAATAACATACAATGATCAAACTTGTCTTTCAAGCAGTGTTATGAGCAAGATTATTAAAGGCACATTTTCTTATCTTTCTGTTGTTGTATTTGCATTATTCTTCAGGTCTTGCAAGAGCTAAATCTGTCCCTAGTCACACATACTCTAATGAAGTGGTAACCCTTTGGTATCGACCTCCAGATGTTCTCTTAGGCTCAACAGAATATTCCACTTGCCTTGATATGTGGTAAGAATGTAGCACTTTTAAAGAATCCATATATTAAGGACATATTGACTTGTATGGTCAAATTGTATATTTGGCAAGTTATGATTGTAGTTTATTCATACCTATCTAGAAACCTAATGGGACAAAGAATCCAGTGAACCGTAACCAATATGGTGCTCTTTATTTGTGTAATGCATTTCTAAATTCTACTGAAAGAAGATTGAAAAGGAACAAATTGTCTGACTGTTTAATTTCATTCAGTTATTTTAGCCCATTTCTCAAACCTATCAAACTTTTTATGAATTTTATTTCCTGCCATCTAAACATTTGATAAAACAGTCCTAGTTTTCATTCAGATGGTTTAACATTTGGGGGACTTTTGCTTCTTCTTTCTTTAAGTTAAGGAATAAACATTTATAATACCACTCACAATAATAGGACACTGCAATAGCATTCTCTAAGCAGCACCTATTGAGGCACAAGCAGCCTCAGTAATTAAACTTCATTTGCCAGATCAGATGAAAGGAGGCCAGAAAACTTTGTAGGTCAGTGATACTTATTACAGAAAAAGCTTCCCTATTTTCATTGTATTGCTTTGGAATGTCTTGAAGACTTTTGTTTATCATATATTAAAATTTAGGTTTCCTTGGAGAATTTTTACAATTACTTAGTCTGTACATGGAAGAAATTATATAACTACTGGTGGTTTTATCTTCAGCTTTTAAAATGTAGAAGCATTGTTTTGAAGATGGGACAGTTAGCATTTCTGCTAAGTTCCAAGCATCCAGGATCCTGGTAGTAAGTACACTGGAAGACAATAGCTGTTGTTATACATTTTTTCACCAACCAAATTTTAGGAAATTAAGAATGCTAGATTTCAAAGGATTTTTTTTTCATCATGTCTTTTATCAAACATAAATAAAAGACTGCATGTGCACTTTCTTTGTGTGGGAGGAGAAGGAGAGGGTGAGGAATACAGTAATTGGCATGGAAGTAGAATGTTACTGTTTCATTTTCATTTTCTGAAATCAATTTTCATGTCGTTTAATTAGAAAAAACACATTTCTCTCTACCATCTGTGCTTGAAAAATTACTGCACATGATATTGCAATCAGCTTCTATAGCAAATTGTAAAACATTTCATTTGTTTCTGGAGTACCAACAACAAAAAGAATATGAATCTTCCAACATTGCCTATGTGATTAAGTACTTACTTTGTAGATAAACAGATTTCTGTTACTGTGGCATAACTGAAGGGAAAATTTGGGTAATAAGCTTAACTTGGGCGGAAATTCTAAGTTCATTTGTTCTCTGTTTTAGTTTGGACTCTTGCAGTTCCTGCATTATACTAAAGTTTTGTCCAAAAATATGGTTCTGCTATCAACAGACAACATTTCCCTTAAGAAGTATTACTTCTGGGAATGTTTGTTTGTTCTGTTTTTGTGGTCATGAAAATGTAATTTCATATTATTGATTTTCATTAAGGATATGAAAATGGTATGTATAAATTAATTGAATGTTGTCATTTATTCTGATTAAAAATGACTACCAGTTTTTGATCAGATAAATTCAATGATCATAATTTTGACAGAAATATATTCTTAGTTTTGAAACATTTATATAGATATTTTAATAGTATAAGATTTCTAAAATAAAATTCATTCTGAGGGAGGCTATCAAACCAATCAAAAACTTATTTTCCTTGTAATACATATGACTGTTTCCAAAGTAAAATTAATCATAGCTGGAAGACAAAAACAATATCTTGTTACTAATAATCATGAAATATTGAGGTCTCATGTTGTAGGTCTTCTAATTCAAAAGTCAAAAAGACATAAAGGACCTTTCAGGAAAAATGCTTTTGTTCCAGGTGAAAAATGATCCATTACTGATTACATCTATCAAATATATGAATCCACCAAAATTATAATTCATTTTCTGCAAAATATCGAACAATTTCAACCTGCAGTCTGGAGCAAATATATCAAACTGGTTGAAGTAGATATATGCAGTTCTTGGGTACATCTGATAGCAGCATTTAAATGTTACACATTGTCTTCAACTGAATTTCAGCTGAATCTATTCCAAAAAATATGATAATATATTTTAAAATACCAGCTCTGTGCTCATGTATAATTTTGCCCACCTTATATGCTTTGTCATGCAGAAGCAGCATTATTTTCTGTATTTTACTATAGCAAAATAGTGGGGACTGTCCAGGCAGTTTCCAATAACCAGGTATGGTTGAATGGAAAAAAATTATACCATATAATACAGCCCTTAGCACAGTGATTCATTTCCATACTATTAGACTATAGCAGACTTTTCAAAAGGCTGCCAAATTTATGAGTCCAGTCCAGTTTATATGTGTATTAAATTTATATTCTGCTATTTTATTGCCATCTTAGAGGTAGTCCTGAGATTATGGAGTTGTCTAACTTCACTTGAAATTTCCCCCCATGTTATTATTTTTCAAAAAACTATTACACAGATTTATTTAGATGATTTGGACGATTTGTGGTAGAGTTATTTGTTCTGTTTTGTTGTATCTGTTTTTTTGTTTTATTTTGTTCAACTGAACAAAATGGTAAACACAGATATAGGCAATATATTTTGATTTTGGTTATGGGTGGTCTGTTTTAGATTTTATATTTTTTTTACTGTAGTTATCTAAAAAATGCTCCAAATAAGAATTTTCTATTTTTTCTGTCAGTATATTGTCAAAAAATTCTGACCTTTGAGAACAATTTTAAAGCCTTCCACCAGAATAATTTTCCTTTTATCTTAGAATCAATTATTATTATTCTCATCATTTTTCTTGTTTATTTCTAGACATATAGCAATAGCATTTAGACTTAGATAGTGTTCCATAGTGCTTTACAGCACTTTCTGGGCAGTTGATAATGTCAGCATATTGCCCCCAACATTCTGGTTCCTCATTTTACTGAGCTTGGAAGGATGCAAAACTGAATCAAAATCAAACTCCAGGCTGTGGGCAGAGTTTGCCTGAAATACTGCATTAGAACCACTGCACCTAGATGTATTCTGCATTGTAACATTTATTTAACCAGCATCACTGCTTCAACTATCCAAACTTATTTGGCATTTTCCTATCCTGCAAGCCTATGCCTGAAACATCTTCCTAGAATGACTGTCTGAAATTATTTAATTCAGTTTAGATTTCTTCTTAAATTTTTATCATTTCCTTTTTTTATTTTATTGCAGGTTGCAATAAATAAATATAAATATGCAAAACATATTTATTAAACTAGACAATCCATGACTCATTGTTCAGAAGCATTTTCTTATCTAACATTCACCTATGCCCCAACCCATGTACTCCATATAAATACATGACATCTCTCATGTTTTCCCCATGTACCATCCCCAACCTGTACCCTTTGCCTGTGTTCCCTATCAGCCCCATTTATTTGTTTGAAGTTGGTATGGAACATCAGTAATCACAAACAAGTTTATTCTTCCTGCTGGCTTTCCTATGTATTTATGGGAAACTCTCAGGAAGCATTGAAATAATCTGTTTGTGGCAGCATAGCAGTGCTAAAGTGGCCACAACTTTAACAAATTTCATTCCCATGGAAAAACTAGCATTCTGGCCCATTTGAGTTATCTTGTTTCAAACATTGCCCTATGATCCATCGTTTCACCTAATTGAAGGTTACAAAAGACACAATAACTTTAGAATTATATAGATAGCAATTCAATCTATTTCAGGTTGCCTATAACTGTGTTTACTATCTTCTATTATAGAAATTCTATAATTATTTTAAATTACAATAGAAAGCCTATACCTGGATAAGCATCAGAAACAGTATAACACAGGGGTAATGTTATTGAGAAATTAATACAGAAGAAAATAATATTTGTACTTGTGGTTACTTGTACATTACATTTTATTTTTGATTCCTCTGTAATAGAGGAAGAGATGTGTGCTGTATAACAATGTGATTTGTGTGGAAATATGAATGGAGAAATTAATAGAAATAAAGTATATTCATGGGTACTATTTGCACATCTATACATGTATGCAAATTGTGAAAGTTATCCCTTAATTTTCATAATTCATCAGTCATAAATCCTTCATCTGGAAATTACAGTATTTGGTTGCTATAGTTGTTAAGGTTTTTTTTTAAAAAGGCAAAGAAATACAAATTTAACCATAGGACAATGGTGGGAAGCAGGTGGCAGTGGCTGTAAGCTATTTATACACTTCATTTGTCACTGTATGTCATTGGAAAGTAACCAAAAGCTAATGATTCATATTCAATATTAATATTCTCCAGCTTTCTGTGTAAATAGCCACTAGCTATTTAAGAATATTAATGAAGCTATCCATGGCATTAGTGATAGTAAAAACAAGCAGTGGGAATCATTGTGGAATATATTATAGTGTACTAGTCCGTCTCACCATATAACTAAGTGATTTGTAATATGTTAGAAATATTATATAATATAAATCTGCTCCAGTTTATTATTTTAGTGCCTTTCTTTTAGGATAGTTAGTATTCTTATTTAATATGATTACAAGTATAAATCCATGTATTTTTTAAAAAAATGTCAACAAAGTAATCCTGAAAGTTAAATATGATTTTTTCTATTTTTATTTATTTTATCTTTCCTAGCTTTTGTCCTGTGGTTAAGCAAAAGAGGAGAAAGATGCTAAACAACATGACATGATTAGGATTTCATTGTTGCTTTTCCCTTTTAGTTTGCACTGATAAGTAAAGAAGAATATAAAACTAGAAGCTGTATAGGTCCTGGAATTTGATTTTTACAGTCCTCTGCTATCTAAGCAAAAGCAGTGAACCCGTTTGGTTCTTGATATATATCTTTCATATGTCCACTTTAATACCTCACTGATGCATCCCTCCAGTTTAGATTTTTCATTCCTTTTATATTTTGGAGGTAGAGATCAGTAGGATATTAAAGAGAAAGACAGAACATTGTATATCTTTCTAGAGTATTTATAGTTCATTTGAGACCATGATTAATTTGAAACTTGAATAATGGGTAGCTTTCTGCAGTGATGTTGCTTCTTGTTATTTTCTATAGTAACATGTCCCATCGGCCTTTGCGATGGCCTGTAGTTAGTGATGATAGGAGCACCACTTTTAGGTAGTCCTCATGTACTAAACACAGTTGTAATCAACAAGTTTGTACAGAGGCCATGTGAAAGCATACCCTTCTCTTGTGCAGCTTATGAAACCGCATTCTCATGGTGTTTTTGGTGGTTCCAGAGGCTATGTGACAACATGGTATGCTCATGGCCTCCAAACTCTCTGGGAGTTAAGTGAAAGGGCAGTACTCTTGCACTGCCTCTGACACCTCTCAAAATTGGTATGGTGAGTAGAATCCTTCTTGTGGAAAATGCTTTTGTTTTAAAAATAGTAAGATAAGGGTTTTTAAATTGGACACTAAAATGAATTAGATTTCAATCAAAAGAGACATATTGAAATTTGGCTAATGGTTACAGAATGGTGCAAAATACTCTGATACTGGAAATGTTAAGGGATAGTTTTGAAAAACAAAATCAGAAATAAATATTAATGTTGTCCTGTCAATGTTTGTGGAAGTGATGTTGGTGGTTCTTTGATTAGGCTGTTGTTTACTGAGAGAGGCAGAGAAGTAAACAATAGCCCAACCAAGGAACACCAAGATCGTTTCCACCAACATTAACAGAGTAAGCCACTGGTATAAAAAATGAGAGCAAGTCCCATTCCCTTCTAAGATCGATGATATTATTTAGTTTGGTAATGAAATGTCTGCAAGAAAACAGCCAAGCTGCTTTCTGACACCATGGACCCTGTGGTTCAATCTGAACTTTGTTGCTGTTAGTTGCGAAGTCGTGCCTGACCCATCGTGACCCCATGGACAATGTTCCTCTAGGCCTTCCTATCCTCTACCATCTTCTGGAGTCCATTTAAGCTCATGCCTACTGCTTCAGTGACTCCATCCAGCCAGCTCATTCTCTGTTGTTTCGTTCTTCTATTGCCCACAAATTTTCCAGCATCTTTTCCAGTGAGTCCTTCCTTCTCATTAGGTGGCCAAAGTATTTGAGTTTCATCTTCAGGATCTGGCCTTCTAAAGAGCAGTCAGGGTTGATCTCCCCTAGGACTGACCGGTTTGATCACCTTGCAGTCCAAAGGACGTGCAGGAATCCTCTCCAGTTCAAAGGCCTCAATTCTTTGCCACTCAGCCTTTCTTATGGTCCATTTTTCACAGCTATACATTGCAACTGGGAAAATCATAACCTTGACTATATGCACTTTTGTTGGCAGGGTGATGTTTCTGCTTTTTAGTGTGCTGTCTAGATTTGCCATAGCTTTCCTCCCCAGGAGCAAGCATCTTTTAATTTCTTGGCTGCAGTCCCCATCTACAGAGATCTTGGAACCCAGGAAAATAAAATCTGTCACTACGTCCATTTCTCCCTATCTGTTTGCCAGGAATTGAGAGGGCTGGATTCTGAACTACAAATATCCTTTTCTATCAATCCTACCTACATAATTCCACACAAAATTCATGAAGTCAGTTCAGCTTACTGAAGTAATAAATGTTAATTTATTAATATTTTGGTTTTTAGAGTTCATTGCAAAGAGAATGAATTGAGGATATTGGAGTCTTTTACTTGCATATTAGTAGGGTGTACTTTTTGTTCTTTTCTCCTCTCCTTATTGAATACTAACCTTAAATTGATGGTCATAAATGAAATGTTCTTTGGAGTGATTAAAGGTAGTTTTGCCCAATCAAACCCAAATATATTTTAGGGTCCTGCCAAAGAATCAGGAGGATTAATCCATCTTTCTAATGATTCCAACATTAAAGGAGAAGGGCACTGTTTTCCATTATTTTGGAAATAGGCTTTTGAATAAAAAGTATATACAGAGAGTGTTTTTCCTCTTTGGAAACAAAACTTTAATTCTATATATTCAACTACCAGGAGGAGGTTTATTTATTTATTTATTATATTTTCATCCCCTCCCCTTTATTACTTTATAAGTAAATCAGATATCAATATATATTATTTAATTAAGGATTTATTGGTGTCCTGATTTTGTTAATTTTGAAATAATTCAAGGTGTTTAGATATACCTAATATTCCTTCCTTCCTTCTATTTTCCCCACAACAATCCTGTGAAGTGGATTGAACTGAAAGAGAATGTTCAAAATCATCCCACTGGTTTTCATGACTAAAGTGGGACTAGAACTCACATTCTATTGTTTTCTAGTCTAAATATTAAATATTAAATCAAATTGGGTGGGGTAGCATTCCTATACCAAATAGTGGTGAGTTACTGCAAAATTATTTTGATTATATTCAAGTTGTTAATGTGCAATTACAGAAATAGTTTTCATAGAAATATTGATTATGACTTTATGACTTCCATATTAAGCTTAATTTTTTACAAAAGCATTGCTGAAGCTGATTATTGATGGATTGTGAATAGAATATTCTACATAAATAGTCATAAGAAACTCAAAGAAGCCTCTGGAGGTGTGGAAAGCATTCAGTATGTATACATTCTAGAAGGTATACATATATCGTCTTCTTTGTTCTTTAAGCACCCAATCACTTTATTTCATTGCAGTTTCTAATGGAAGTTTGTAATGATTTGCGCTATCATCTTAAAAAATTAGAATGGCTCACAAATTTGCTTTTTAAATTTGTAGTTGCAATATAAGAATTTTTTAAAAATTATTCATATGCTAGCAGTTATGGGTTTTTTTTCATGACTGTACATGTATATATAACTTCCATGAAACTGCATGCAAACATATGGTTAAAGTTACTTTTTTATTCCTATGTCCTTAACCGAAGATTGGTACACTTCTATCTGGGATGGCCATCCTCATCAACAAGGGCGCATCTTCAGGACATACATGGAATGATGGAGGAGGAAGGGGACATCCACTTAGCAGCCAGATCAGCCTAATCAAACCCTGGCGATCAATGGGATAACAGATGTCTCTGCCAGATTGCCCTCACATTTTTTTATTCCAATACTAGGTTTCTGTACAAGATCATCAATGTCGATGCCATGAAACACAATACTCTGTGTTAGAAAGAAAAAAAGACAACAGTCTGCAATTAAAATTAAACAATCACTTTACTTCCATGATTTAGATAAATATCTACAAAACCTGTTTATATTTTTATTCTGGTTGTCTTAGTAATAGTTCAATACCTATTTGAACAAGGTTTGTCTTGAGTGTGGGGAGGGGGTCTTCTGCAAAGTTCCAGTTGAGATGCTATATGCATATACCAATAAATAAAAAAAATGTGAGCCACATCTAGTAACAATAAAATAAATGGTTATGAAGTTTTTCTTTATTCTATTTCTTGTGATACTAGAGCCTTCTATCGCTATAATTTTGTTAAGAGAAAGGGATAGCAGTTTTCAGTGCTCTATTTGAAGCTGTTTTGTAAAAAGAACAAGTCTGAGTTTTTCATAGGCAATAACAGTAATGTTTCTCATACTTACTCACAATGAAGAATCCAATAAAACTATCTGCAGGGTGTGTACGAGGGTTCATGCAGATTTTTTTGCCCTGTAATTTATTTTATTCTTGTTTTTTAGGGGAGTTGGTTGCATTTTTGTGGAAATGATTCAAGGAGTTGCTGCTTTTCCAGGAATGAAAGATATTCAAGATCAGCTTGAAAGAATTTTTCTGGTAAGTTCATCTAACCCTTCTAGTGAGTTTTAATTTTGTTACCACCCTGCTCTTATATAAAAAATGGAAAACTGAGAATTGTTTTAGATTATTAATATTTTTGAACAAAACAGTGCATTAACTAAAAGGATCTGTTTCAATTATAAAATCATTAATTACTAAGGACATTTTTTTTCCTTCTCTAATGAAGAACTTTTCATTTGTAGACTGATTCTGTAGAGGTTTCCTTATATTCAAACAAGAGGTTCTTATTTTGAACATTATTATTTTGGGATTGATGGTTCATGTCTGTATCACTTTCCTTTTGCACTGTCCATGTGGAATATAAATGTTCAGTTTTATATGTTCTATTCATTGTTTTAATAACTACAGCTCTACATTTATTATCCTTTTCAATTGAAATGCTAATAAATACTTAATATATCATTTTGTAAAAATGTTCTTTTAGATTAAAACCATACCTTATTGAATATATTCATTTTCTAAATTCAATTTCAACAACATGTTCCAAAATTTCTAAAAATGAATTCATCACATTTTCAAATTTATTTTCTTATAGGTTCATGACAAATTGTATTCCCAGTGTCAATCTTAAATTCAGATTTGGAATGGAGATCCTGAACGTGTTCTGTTATGATTTAAAATTGTACCTGTGGATCTACTTTTAGTTCCATTAAAACAATTTTATTTTAATCAACATCATAATAAACACTCATTTCAAAAATACACTCTTTTTGAAATGCGTGTTTCAAAAGTCAGTTTTGTCATTTGCTTGTGAAACATCCTCAGTGGTTTGAGAAGTTCCTTTACACGGTTTCATTGTTTTATTCCCACTGTTTCAATTATTTTGTTTGAACATTTCTCTAAAATGCGTCTCATGACATCCAGCTGAGTTGGTTTCCTCCTTTGTAATTTGATATTCACCTTGTTTATTCAATCAAACCTGGCTTTCCCACTCTTTTGTATTCTTTGACTCCCTCTTGTGGCCAAAGAGCAAATACTTCAGGTGGCAGTCCTACAAGTGTGAACATATTTTAAATCAATCAGGTTGTTAAGGTTGGAAGCTTTTACTCTCTCACAAGCACCTGAGAGTTATGAGTTATAGATCCTGGCAGGTTTATAGATTTATAGCATGGCAGATTTATAGAAATAGGCAAAATTGTGTCTTAAATTCTTATGTTTCTCAGATACAATTATAAAAATAAAGTTATTTTTTCTTTTTTTTTCTATTAGGACCACTCCTCCTTTTAAAAATTACCAAAAGAATTTTTGTTTATATGAATTATGTTGAACAATATTTACCCAATTAAAAGTACACTCATTTGCAGCTGCTACCACTCTGTGGAATTATATTATTAATAATATTATAATTAATATTATTAATATTATAATTATATTATTAATCATTTGGCAAATAATTATGATTTCATGGTCTCCCAAGAACATATTGGGCAATCTCCAGGGGTCTAAGATCATACTTTAAGAAACATTACTCTAGACAAAGGGGGTCAAACTCATGTCATCATAACGGCGGCATCATGTGACATATCAGGACTTTTTTTTCCCCCTTCACTAGACCAGGTGTGGCTGTAGTCAGCGTGTGATGCATCCGGCCCATAGGGCAGGAGTTTGACAGCCTTGCTTTAGACTAATGTGGCATAACTAACATACCTTAGCATACTGTACAGATGGCAGACTGCATAGGATTTAGTAGGCACTATTGAATATACTCAAAATTTAACACATAAAATGTTTAATATGTAATTACTAGGAGCTTTAATTGGGTAGAGAAGCAAACAAGAAACCAATGCCATTACCTGTTTTAAAAACTTTAATCAGTCACTAGGTAAAAACGTGTTTTTAGAATTAGCTGTACCTCTGAATCATCTTCAAGGACAGTTCCATATAAATTAAATTCAGTAATCAAGATTCAGGATGATAAAGATGAGTCACTATCACTAGAACCGTGATGGTGAACCTATGGCATGCATGCCACACGTGGTACGCAGAGCTATTTGTGCCAGCACACGAGCTGCAGGCAAACTTAACTCACTGGGCATTTGTGCGTCTCACAGCTGATTTTCGGCCGGTTTGAGGCCTTTTTCAGCCTCCCAAAGGCTTGAGGAAGGCTTCTGCAGGCTTTGTAGGCTGAAAACTAGCCCTGTTTTGTCACTTCTTGTTTTTCCGAAAATATTGACAGTGATGAAACGAGGCTAGTTTTTGGCCTGCAAAGCCTGCAGAAGCCTTCCTCAAGCCTTTGGGATGCCAAAAAAGGCCTCAAACCGACCGAAAATCAGCTGTGAGGCACAGTGCAGGTAAGGGGCGGGCGGGTGGGGATTATGCGCGCATGCATAGTGGGCCTTGGGGGTGCATTGCCTTCTGGGTGCTGGCACACGAATGTGAGCATGCAAGCATGCACACAATTTTTGGCACAGGAGCCCAAAAAGATTAGCCACCACTCCAGGACCTCCCATTCCTGAAAAGACCACAAGTGGCACATTAGTGAAAGCCAGGCAAAGACTCTTCTAAACTTCACCTGCTAATATAGCTAGTCCTCAACTTACAACCACCATTGACCCAAAAATTATGTTGCTAAGTGAGACAATTCATAATGAGTTTTGCCCCATGTTATGACCATACTTGCCATAGTCATTAAGTGAATCATTGCAGTTAAGTGAGTAATACAGTTGTATGAATTTGGCTTCCCTATTGACTTTGCTTGTCAGAAGGTTACAAAAGGGATCGCATGACCCTGGGATATTCCAGCTACCCTAGATACGAACCAGTTGTCAAGCACCAAAATTTTGATCATGTGACCCATGGGGATACCGCAATAGTCATAAGTGTAAAAAATGGTCATAAGTCACTTTGGTCAGTGCTGTTATAACTTTGAACTGTCACTAAACGAATGGTTGTAAGTGAAGGACTATCCATACATCAGAATGTACAGTCTAGGAAAGCTTCCAACTGGAAGATGTTCAATTGCACCTAATGCTACAAATAGAAGTCACCTGAAGTTCCAATATGTCTGCTGCATGTGTTGGTACCTCTTGGTAGAATATGCATATTTTCATGGACTCACCTAGTAGAAACATAATCAAAGAATCATACCTAGACCACAGCTTCTTGATAAGCTAGAAAAATTGTGGGGTAGACAACGTCACCACTAGATAGATATGTAACTGACTACAAACCCTACTCAATAAATTGTTCTTAATGTAATACATCTACATGGAGGAAAGTAAGCAGTGGGATATCACAAGATTTCATGTTGGGCCCAGTGCTCTTCATAAAGACTTAGATGAGGGAATAGAAAGGGAACTCATCAAATTTGCAGATGACACTAAGCTGGCAGGTATAGCCAACACCTCAAAAACTCAAGATCCAAAAAGATCTTGACAGATTTGAGTAATGGGCCTTATCCAACATAATGAAATTTAATGTGGACAAAAACAAGGTTTTACACCTAGACAGGTGTAAAATCCAAAGGTACAAATACAGATTAAATGAAACTTGGCTCAAAAATAGTAACTATGAGAGGGAACTTGGAGGTCCTAGTCGATGATCATTTAAACATGAGCCAGCAATGTGCAGCAGCAACCAAAAAAGCTAATACAACCCTTGGTTGTATAAACAGAATCAAGATCATATGAAGTATTTGTACTGTTTTATAAATCCTTAGTAAGACCACATCTGGAATACTGCATCAGTTTTAGTTACCACATTACAAAAAAGATGTCAAGATTTGGAAAAAGTGCAAAGAAGAGCAACTAAGATGATTAAAGGCCTGAAAACAAAAGCATATGAAGAACGGTCTCAGGAATTGGTTTGGCTTGACTAGAGGAAAGAAGGACTAGGGGTGACATGATAGCAGTATTCCATATTTGATGGGCTACCACAAAGAAGAGCGGTCAACTTATTTTCCAAAGCACCAGAAGGCAAGACAAGAAACAATGGATAGAACCAAACCAAGGAGAGAAGCAACAAGGTTAAGGAGAAACTTCCTAACAGCGAGAACAATTAACCAATATAAAAGCTTGCCTTCAGAAATCGTAGGCCCTTCATCACTGGAGGTTTTTAAGAGAAGACTGGAGAGCCACCTTTCTTAAATGGTATAGGGCATCCTGCTTGAGCAAGGGTTTGGACTAGAAAAACTCCATGTTCCCTATCAATTCTATTCTGATTGATATTGATATCAATTCATTAGATTTTTCCCAGCGGGTATCTACCACCAAATAAACATGAATGACTTTAGACAAAAGAACTATGAAGCTTGAAGCTATTATTTCTTCTGACCTACCATTCCCCAACTACTAGACTACATTCTACAGATATACATTCTACAGATATAATGAGGACAGATATTATTGATGATTTGCAACCCTTGCTGCTATGAGTTATCTTTGTTTGATCATAGTTGTTCCTTTTTACCAATATCTCTCAGGCATCTCTTCTATAATAAAGGCTCATGTTAGTGAAAGTTACAAAAATGATAAGATTTTCTTAAAAAAAAATCAATTTAGAGAAGTATGTTAGACTGATACTATTATGTGGCAATCAAAGTATTTTGAGCCATCTGCTAACTTTTCTTTAATAATGAAGATTGATTGATTTGGTCTGTGTCTAGGTGTTAGAAAAAAATATACATACTGTATTTTTCATTTCATCAGACACACTTCCCCCGCCCCAAAGTGGATAGAAATGTCTGTGCATCTTATGACGCAAATACTAGTGAATAGCAGCTGGGCCAGCGGGCTGGTGGTGGTGCATTCTTCTACAATGCTGAACCCTGTTTCTTCTGTCTTTGTCATTGCCTGCCTCTTCTGTCTCTTTTCCGCAGTACAGGAATCAATAGGCAGAGCTGGCACACGAGAGGACAGCTATCTGTGGTCCTCTCAGGCTTCACCTCCTGCTCTCACTACACTGCTGCTCCATATTTGGCTCATATTTTTTTTCCTCTTCTGAAACTAGGTGCATCTTATGGTCAGATATGTCTTAATGGAGTGAAAAATACAGTATATGTTGGGTAAATAATTTAATAAGTTTAAGAAGATGTCAATGGAATAAAGCAACTTGGTATTTCTTTGCAGTTTTATTTTGCTTTTTGCTTTGGGTCCAATCTTAAGTTATCATTTTAGTAAGTAAAGTAGTTACTTGAAGAAATTGTGTAAGTGAGATCTGGCAATAGCTGTTTACCTCCTCTCCCCTGCCCCTTGGTCTGTTTATTGCTTCATGGTTCATTCTGAAAGCGTTACTACTTCGAAACTGGATTTGTACCTGTATAAAATATTTTTAAAATTAAGAACTCTTGGTTCTTCAAAAAAAATGTGCAAATTGAACTAGTCTCAGATAATCTACAAAATATAAGGAAATTGATGAAATAAGTGATTGTATATGAAAGGTTGAAACTCAGTACTTTTTAAAATATAGCCATAAGATCTGGTTTTTCATCAGGTTAGGTTTCTTAATATTAATTTACTAAAGCCATATTGTTTTCTAAGAAAGGCAATCCTGAATTTAATGTACCTGCATGAACAAGCTTCCAGTGGAAATTTCCCTGCCTGATAATAATGTATTTTCAACAAATAAAAAAGATTATCCTCCCACTTTAGAAAATAAATTATTTAGGGGAAAAAATCTAATGTTGTTTTGAGAGAATACAGTAATAAGAGTAGAGGACTTTCTAAATTAAATTTCTGCTTCCATCTGCTGGGCATGCTAAATATTGCAGGGTAGATTTAACTCAACAAAAGCTCTAAGGCAGGGGTGTCAAACTCACAGTGTCACAGCAGTGTCATGACTTTTCTGCCCTTCGTTAAACTGGGCATGGGTGTAGCCAGCATGTGATGCATGTGGCCCACGGGCTGGGAGTTTGACCTGCTCTAAGGCAATCTGTCTCTGTGTGCACAGAGTACTCAGTTTAAATGAATTAAAAAATTTATCATGTAATTTTAATACACTTACACTTTGCATGTATACCCCTCAGTTTTGAATTAGTAGCCTCGAGCTCCTTTTAATTAGATAATAATAATTAGGAATAATAGGTCTTCCAATGTGGAAATAATTTGTGACAAAAATAGTTATAAAGTTTGATGGATTGATATTTATAAATTATATAAATTGTATATAAGTTTAAAAATTAATTCTATGTCTCAGTTAAACTTTTTAATCCAAGTTAAAAAAAGCTTCATTATAAATTATCATCTACAGGTTCTGGGAACTCCAAATGAAGAGTCATGGCCTGGAGTTGATGCTCTACCACATTTCAAGCCAGGTTGGTTTTGCATGTTATTAAAGTGTTATATATACTGAAAAGATACTGGGTTATATGAACAGAAGCACCATTTCAAAGTTTAGTATGTTAGTAGAAAAAAGTCATTTCAAAATTATGATTTCTAATAAACTAAAAGTTAAATTATATAAACATTTAATTTAATATCTGATTGGAGATATTTTTCTTTATCAGGAATCAATCTTGGCTTGAAATTTATATATATTTTATTATGTATTTCGTAAGAAACATTAGGAACATGCTTGAATGAACAATCTGTGAGGCCTTCCCATAGATATACATTAATTTTAGCTAGGGAGAACATGGCTTTTGTGCCATCTATTTACTTCTATTTATGTCAATTCCTATATTATCTCTTCAAGACATTTAGTCCTGGGAGACTTTCATCAGTGTTTGGAAACATCGCAATCTTTCCGTATCCCATTTTGGCATCTCTTTTATCAAGAAACCAAAATGCAATTTTACACTTTATTAGGAATTGTAAAGGGAGCTGAAGCATCTCAGCTCAATGATTTAGAGGTCTTAAAGAAGAAGGTACTTAACCAATAAATCAATACCTATGTTGTTGTTCTTAAAGAAGATAATTACTGTATTTTCTGAAATAGTGAATTGAATATGGACCCATTCATCTCTGAAACTGATATCCAGATTTTTCAGAATCAGCTGTTGTAACATTGTTTTTGATCATTGTTTTTGAATACAGTATTGCTTCAACAAAATTAGGATGTACAAAGTGGGAATGTGGTATGAAAAGCATAGAGCATAATAAGCCAGATTGGTAACAGTAATAACACTTAGACTTATATACTGTTCCATAGTGCTTATAGCATTCTCTGAGTGCTTTTCAATGTCAGTATATTTCTACCAACAATCTGGCTCCTCATTGTACCAACCTTGGAATGATGGAAGGTTGAGTCAACCCTGAGCCCCATTAGAATCAAACTCAAGTCTATGAGCAGAGTTGCTTGCAATATTGCATTCTAACCACTGCCACCAGGGTTCAAAATTATTGTTTGTACTATTATCCATATACATATTATTTGTTTATGTAATATTTTTCTTCTTTTCAACAATGTTATCTTAACTTTTAGGGGCAAAGTACACTAAATATTAACTAGTTTTAAAAAATCCTCTACGTAAGCAAAAAATTATTTCAAACAAAACTTGCAATGTTTAGTTATTTCTTTCATTCTAAATTAATTAAGAAATTAAGTATTTTACAATAGTTTCTCAAAATGTCACTGAATTTAATGTTTCTTCTCATGTCTTATGTTTCTGTTGAAATGTTAATAATTCATTGTCCTAAGGACTGCCTTTTTGTTAAAGAATATTAATGAAATACTAATGGTTATTATTTTTATAATCTCAGAAAACTCATAGAATATGATTTGGTACAGAGTTTGAAATCTGGCTTGATTTTGTAAGTATAATCATTGTGACCTATGGTTTTGCACTTCTTGTTTCTAAAAGTATTTTTCAAAATACTTACTGAGCCAGTTCTTTTCTCTCAACCAAACAAGAATTTTTTTGCTGCAGGAAAAAATGAAGGAAGAAATGTTATATATTGCTTGGGTCTCCTGAAAGAAAATTGGGATATAGTCTTAATCAAATAAATAAAATACAACATGATATCTTTTATAACTTTCCGTTATTTTTTTTTTAAAAGTCATACTCTCCAACTGCCTTGTTGTATAAAAATTTAAAAGACTTTTAAAATTATATAAATCTGAGTTTATAGGATTTTGCATCTATTCCCATAAAATATTAAATTGCTAAGAACATTAAAATAACTTTTTAAAAATAAAATTATAATTGGAAAAATATGAAATTCATTTGAAGAAACTGTAGCTTTCTAAGACTGCTGGAAAACTTGATTTAAGAAGTGAAAAGTGTTTTGATGTTAGCTGGCAGTCAGGAAACAATTCTGATCTGTTATTGATTAATGGTGCTATACTACCTAATGTTTCTCTTTAGTCATATACTTTGTTTTGTTGAAGAGTGTTGAGGTAATTCCCCGTTAGGAGAATGAGTGCATACAGAGAGACGTATTGAAAGAAGTGTTTGATTAATACACACACAGCACACAGATACACTGTACAGTAAATGTAGGTTTTAACTTCCAGAAAGGTTTAAGCAAAGTTCAAACACAGTCCAAAATCATTCACAGGTTAAATCAGTCAGTTTTTAGTCCAGAGATAATCCAATAATAAAGATCAGTGTCAAAAAATAGTTCAGTATCAGACTTACATCAAATCCAGGAATAGCAGTCAGTTAAGAGGAAACGACAATATTCTCCAACAGAAGGAAACAGAGACTCACTGAGACTTCTTCTGAGACTAAGACTAAGACAACCCAGGTTTCTGGCTCCATCTTATGGCCATTTGAGAAAACACCCCCAACTACAGTTTTGCATTTTCTTAAAGATACAGTATTAAAATGTCTATCCTGGTTTATATATTTCCAACCCAAATAGCTGTTAGGTGACTTACATTCCTAACATTCTCCCCTTTTGGGTAGGACAATTTATACAACCTTACATTCTAAGTCCATAATCTTCACAGCTAGCCTTATGCTTTATAGAGCCTTGGACCTTTGTAAAATGATCTGCTATATTGTTTTCTGACATACAGTATTCCAGCTTAATCATCTTACTTTGCACACATTGTCTCACATTTAAATATCTTAAATCTTTGTGTTTCGTTCTTGTCTTAACAGCAATATTTGAAGCCATCTGTATTGCTGATTGGTTATCTTTGTAAACAACAATAGGATCTGTTACATTAATTCCCATATCAATTAATAATTGCTTATACAAAACTAAATCTGTACATAATAAAGACAAACATGAGAATTCAGCCTCCATTGTTGACAAACTTAGATGTTTTTGTCTAATAGACCTCCATCCAATCAATGCCTTTCCCAATAATACTATAGTACCCGATGTAGATTTTCGTGTATTTATGTCTGTAGCAAAACTTGCATCAGCATATGCAGTTAAACTCAGTTCATCTTTAGGCTTCAAATACAATGCATAATGCATTGTTTGTTTCAGATATCTTAACACATGTTTAGCAGTTTGCCAGTGCCTTTCAGTCAGCTCAGCATTAAATCTCCCTAATTGATTAACACTGTATGCAATATCTGGCTTTGACCAATTACTGAGATAAGATAAACTACCAATCAAGGACTGATAAATGTTCTTATCAAAAACAGGACTTTGAACATCACTATGGCTAAACTCCTGGCTCATTGGTGTTTTAGCCGGTTTACAAAGTTCCATTTTAAAACTTTTTAGTAATTGATTAATTTTATCTGCCTGTGAAATCTTGTATCCTCCCCTAGTTCTTTCTATCTGTAAACCAAGATATTGTTTGATTTGTCCTAACTGTTTTATTTTAAATTTCTTCTCTAACAGACAGATTATTTTAGTAGCTTCTTGTTCAGTTTTGGTGATTAATGCTATGTCATAAGTAAATAATAGCAACAATGAAATTACACCATTACTTTCTCTTTTAAACAAACATGGATCAGCCATGCCAGCTACAAAACCTATTTTAGTTAATTCCTTAGCTATACATTGGTTCCACTCATATCCTGATTGCTTCAAACCATAAAGACTCTTTCAATCTCCAGCAATCAGTTGTATTATCATTTGTGAGAGCTAAAGGTTTCTTTAAATATATAGTGTATTGCAGCGGTGCATGCAGGTAAGCTGTTTCTACATCCAAATGATTTATAATATATTTCTCCTTAGCTGCCCACACCAATGCTGCCCTTAATGTAGTAGCCTTCAGACTAGGTGCAAACACCTCATCATAGTCATTTGCTGTCTGATTGAACCCTTGTGCTACTAACCTGGCTTTATGGGTAACAGTCCCATCTACACCTGTCTTCAGTTTATAAATCCATTTACATCCTATGGCATGTTTACCTGGTGGTAACTTAACATTTTCATATACCTCCAGTCTTTTTAATGGTTCCAGTTCCTTATCCATTGCTTTCTGCCAAGCAGCCTGATGCTTAGCAGGATACAGTTTTAGTTCACTATAGTTACTTGGAATACAACACTAGCCTGATATCTATCAGGTGGTCTTGTTACTCGGGTTGAACCTTGGTAATACAGGGATTACTGGTGGACTCACCTGTGCCACCTGCTCCTGTTCTTCTACCTCCTCCTGTGCCTGTTCTCCTACTTCCTTCTGTTCTTCCTCTTTAATGGCTATTTGTGGTTTACTTATTTTATCTTTAGGGATTATTTGGGTGTCAATAACGATATCAGTGCTGGATTCCTGTTCCAGTTTATCCCGCCCAGTGTGATCAAGAAATTTTGCATTAGCACTACAATAAACATGAGCTGTGCCTTGATCCCAGAGTCTAAATGATCTATGGTTGGCCTCATAACCCACAAAAAAAAAAAAAAAACCCAAAAAACATTTTAGCTCTATGTTGCCCTTTCAGTTTTACTTGTGAGGGAATATGCACCCATGCTGGAGCTCCAAATGTGTGTAGGTAATTAAATTTGGTTTACTGCCATGCCAATGAGTGAATGGGAATTCACCAGTTGTTGTATTTACATTGTTCAACACATGGTTGCTACACATTATGGCCTCACCCCACAGTGTTTCAGGTAAACCTGCATCAGATAATATAGTGCGAGCCATGGCTTGTAATGTTTGCCCTCTTCGTTCTATAAATGAGTTATGTTGTGGTCTGTAAGGTGCAGAATGTTTATGCTCCACACCAGCCAATTTTAACATAGTTTGGAATCTCTTGTTAACAAACTCAGTCCCATTATCAGTAACTAAAGTAATTACTTTACTTTTCATTTTTCTCTCAGTAAACCTTAGCCAGATAAAGAGATGTTGGAATGTTTCTGTTTTGTTTTTCATAAGATAAGCATGTTTTGTTTTTCAGAAACCGTATTGTGACTAATGGTCCATAATACTCAAAATATAACAGGCACCTCCTAGACTTGGTTTCTT